GCAGGGTCCCTTCCTCAAGGCAGGTCACATCCTTCTGCCTTGAAGGGACCCTGCGCGGCCCCGAAATGTCTGTTTATTTGGATGTCTGTGATGCTTTCTGTCCAATAAAAGGGACATATTTATCTTTACTACTGAGTGCTGGTGATTTCCTGACTTTCCTGTGTTTGCACGGCGCCATCCGTGGTAATTCATCACTGCGAGCACCACTTTTTTCTTATCTGGCCGGGACTGCTGTGAGGAGTGCGGAGGGTCTCTCCATCTACTTACATCTTAAATAAAAGGGAGATTACTTGGCAGCTTGATTTGGGAAACATAGGATCTATTTTGGAATTGAAGCTTAAATGCTCTTTTTTAGGGAGAATGGCTGAACACCATGAACTGCAGTCTCTGAAGAACACCGTGACCTCTGAAGGACCTGTTGCATTTGTTTCTGTAGATAAAGAAATGCTAAAACTGAAAGGTAATGTCTTTTGGGGTGGCTTGTGAGGAGTGTTTTGGGTTTTACAATGTATGTAGGGCTGCACTCAAATTTTTTTTTATTCCCCCCTTGGGTACTGATGCATCACAGTACTCCACATTGGACTTGGCTAGAGCACTTGCAACTGCTGGGGTTGTTGGGTCTGTGGCTGTTGCTGTTCTGGGTCTGTGGATACGTTGCAGGAGTCAAACCTGTAACATTAAAACCGCAAATGCTTAAATAAAATCTTGTATTTTCTAAATCGCTCTAATGTGTTTATTCCAACCATGGTTCAGAACACCCTGAAGAAGCATTAAAAGGTGACCCTTGTGCAACATGTGCTGTGGGAGGGGGGGGGAGAATGGTTCCTAGACCTACTTGTTAAAATGTTTTATTTTTTCCTGTGTGGCTTTAGTGAAGTGCATGGATCAACAATCTTCTATGTGCCATGTTCATACCCAGGGCCGGATTTACTCTCCCTGCCGCCCCAGGGCCAGGTTCCACAATAGGCCAGCCGCCGGGACACCTTACACCAACGCCCGCAACTTCCCCACAAGGTCACCGCTGCCGCCCCTCTGCGATCTGCCGCACCGGGGGCCTTGTGGGAAATCTGGGCCTGTTCATACCACAACCCTGCACTGAGGTGGGCTGTAGTGCAAGGTGTAAAAAAGCAGATACTCTATCTTTACACCACCTCACTGCAGCATGTGACTTGAAAGTGTAATTTTGTGATGCTTCAGTCAGGTTGGTGTGTTGTGTAGGGGCAGTGCTTTAGAGTTTACCATAGATACCGTGTTCTTGGTATGCAGGTTTGGTTGAACAAGCGCTTAAATTACTTTACACTGCTAGCTGGTAATATTGCTATTCTGTCTACTAGAGAAACTCACTGTAAAAAGGAGGTGCCATGGAAAGCTGTATTTGGCAGCTTAATCTAGAACTGTTCTTGTCCCATATAGAAACTTGCCAGTGAGAAAAGGTTGTTGACTAAGGAACCTATATTGCTAAACCATGTATTGGAGTGATCAGAGGCTGCCAGGGGTATATTACAAGACTGTCTAGTCAAAAAGACAGTTTATGAAATTAAGTCAAAGGGTCAATTTAGTTCTTGGCACATGCAATGAATTTGCACCATCAACATGAATGAGGAGCTTAATCTTTGCTTTGCAAACAGTCCTTAACAGTGCAAAGCCCCTTACTGGGGCCATGTCCCACTGATGCATTGCACAGTTTGAGCAACACAGCCTGATGTGTAAAGCGCAACTTATCTACAGGAGATGAACATTAATTTTTGTCTTGCCTGTACAATCTGCTTGTTGGAGTAGATCATATGATACGAGAGCTAATTCTGGAACAATGGGTTCATGCAACTTTTTTTGATCATGAACACAAATCAAAGCTGTAAAGACAACCCAGTATAACCCTCCCACTCTGCCTGTTGTATAACAAGGGTGGGTCACAGAACTGAGGGGAGGGTCTTGTGATGTGCTCCAAGAAATAGATTTTTACAGGCATTGGAGCTGATCAAATTGATCTATGATAGATGAATAGAACTTTGTTATAAAGCTAATCTCTGCCTCTTGAAAGAATCTGTAGATGACTTTGAGGTCAGATGAGGCTCATCAAACTACAAAAGGACTCTTGAAGCAGTGACACCTGTTGGAAATATAACAGACTGACTTTTTTTTGCTGGTTCATCAGACTAGCTTTCTCAATTCAGAATGACTTGATTTGTACAAAAATGATCTGGGAATAAATATGGTCAAAGTTGCTCCATAATCTGTTTAAACATAAGCCTTTGCGATAAACTTGTTCAGTTAGAATCTGACCACCAAGTCTACAGCTAGCATCCACCACTTTGCAACAAGGGCCCTGAACACCTCCTGGATAGGGATGCTCCGTGTTTAAGACGGAGTACCAATACTTTTTTCCAAGTACTCGCCGATACCAATTAACGATACTTTTTCTTAAAGGGACAGGTTACATTTTTTCTAAAGCAATAAAAAACATGATTTTTAGGTCAGTTTCTTAATATTATGAAGAACATGAAATTAATATTTATCATGCCATTGCTAACTAAGGCTTGTATCCCCCAGTGGGGAAAATAGATGAGCACATGTCCAGACCAGAACACTGTGTAGTGTGGCACAGCTATATCCAATTCTGCATAACTTGCTTTAGATTATAAGAACTTTTATAATCTAAAGCCAGGTGTGCAGAATTGGATATAGCTGTGCCACACTATACAATACACTTCTGGAGTCTGGACATGTGCTCATCTATTTTCCCCACTGAGGGATACAAGCCTTAGTTAGCAATGGCATGATCTAAATATTCAGTTCATTTTGTTATTCAATGTCTTTTTTTAATATAACATTTATATAAAAAAACCCTTGAATAATGAATATTTAGATCATGCTATTGCTAACTAAGGCTTGTATCCCCTATAGTGGGGAAAATAGATGAGCACATGTCCAGACTCCAGAACAGTGTATTATTGTATAGTGTGGCACAGCTATAACCAATTCTGTATACCTGGCTTTAGGTCATAAAAGTTCTTATAATATAAAGCCAGTTATGCAGAATTGGATATAGCTGTGCCACACTATACAGTGTTCTGGTCTGGAGTCTGCTCATCTATTTTCCCCACTGGGGGATACAAGCCTTAGTTATTTCTTTAGTTAATGTCTTTAAAAAAAAAATTATATGTAGTTAAACAGCATTTTTGTGCCTCACCTGACTGGTGAGGAAGCCTGTCAATCATCCAATCGGCAGGAGAAGAGGTCAGAATGGAGCAGAGGAGTTCGTGGCCATCTTGTTTCATTGAAGATGCTATGGAGGTCCTGTGTGTGGCGGTTTCGAGTCCTTGAAGATGGCAGACGCAGCACATGTACTCGTTTTTGTATCTGAGTATTTGCACGAGTACTCATGCAAATACTCGGTATCGCCGCCGATACCGATGCTTGTATCGGAGCATCCCTACCTCTGGATGAAGTTACTATTCTTGAAGTCCAGATGTTGATGGCTGAAGTCTGCCTGCCAAATGTCCACACCTCTAATATGCAAGGCAGACAAGGGCCATGACTGCGTCCCTTTTTAAGCTGCACAAATTTTGGTACCTTCCTGGTGGTTGATGTAAGCCATGACATTGTCCAACTAAAGCCATCTGGGATGGGGATATAAGCTGTATTGCCTAAAATGTTGTCATCCACCTGGCTATGCATTACAGCATAGCAGAACAGAATTCAAGATACTTTGGAAATTAACACAGGTCACATATATGTATTTCAAGTGTGCTCGATTTCACCTTAAACAAATACAAATTACATGAATTTACACTTTTCAAAGGCCTGTGCACAGTACAAAATTTAGCTAATGTCACAATCAGCTGTTTTTAGAATTGTACTAATTGCTAAAGTGTTTGTCAGTCCCTAGAAAAATATTGCATCGCATTGTAATCCATACCTTTTTGTAATCCAATCTGTACACTTGGTAAGTAGAGAAGCTAAAAGTAATCAAGTTGTTAAATATAAAACACTTTTTTATTTTATTTAAATCATTCTGTCGCATTTATGGTTTATTAACCAAGCTGAACATCAAAGAACTGTGTCTTGGATCCCATATTCTCTGCAGCATCATCAATCGTCTGCAGTACAGTAACTGGTGTGTTCAGTCGTTCTGCACTGTGGTGGATCCCATAGGCAAAATATATTACGAAACCTGCAAGAAAAAATTCAAAGCCATAGGGCCCATTCACACCTGTGTGTTGGGGTAACGTACTGTAAAATGTGCTCTACCGGCAGGGCAGGATTTACTCTCTGCTGCCCCAAGGACAGGTTCCTCAATGCGCCCCCTCCCCACACCCCCCCACGGAGAATGGCAGACCTGCAGGCTGCATACAATGTCGCCGAGATCACTTGTACAAAACAAGCGGTGGCTTCCCTGCTGTACATTTAGCTCTGCTTGCCCAAAGCAGGGCTAAATGTAGAAAACAAGTACCCGCCCGGGCATCGGGAGATAGGAATTCCACACCTCTGCTGCCCCTCTATTCCCTACTGCCCTGAGGCCAGGCCTTGGTTGGCCTTGTGCGAAATCTGGCCCTGTATACCGGATGTTCCTGCACTCGTGCTGCCACACATATACAGTAATGCTGTGCATTGCTAATCATATAACACCCAAAAATACTGTTGCACATGTGGGATGTAATGCACCACAGTGCACACATGTGAACAAAATGTGCTGTGGGGGGGTGAGCACTATAAGGACGAATACGGCCCTGTCGCCTAACACCACCACCACCACACTGCAATTTCCTAATTTTTCCC